GGATGTTACTACATCTCTCACGTATCCTTTTCATGATGAGTCCCCAGTGTCCTGGGTTAGTGCAGAGTTTTAAAAGATGTGTAATTTATTCAAAAGCACATTTATGTACTTTCTTGGGGAGTGGTTGGGGCCATCCCGCACATGCACCTCTGCAGCACATCCCCAGCCATGAATGTTCTTTACAGAAGGGCTTCCTTATCTGAGGTAAGAATGCATGTCACTTGCCACTGCTCTTCAGTGGTTTTGGTGAAGTCTCTTTTTCTTTTTTAGCAATGCTAGACCAAATAAATGCAATTTTAATAAGGTAAAAATGAGGCTCCTTTAAGTCTGAGCTTGAACTTTGTTGGAACATTTTCTACTCAATAGACAAGTGGTTTGCCCATGAAGAATTAATGAGTTTCCCGCTCTGCTGGGAGGGAAAGGCCTGAAGTCTTTGATAATGCTGTAGAGACTTTTATGAAAATGACATGCAAATAGTGCCCCGCAGGCCAAGCTGTCTACTGTTTGGAATATGAATATATTGGGGGGGGTAAGAAGAAGCATGTGGATGTTGGCATCAAGATAGATTGGCAGTGGTGACAGGTGCTCCGTGTGGGTCACGTTCTGTGTACACACACAGGGCTACTACCACTGTGGCTGCCTTGGCCACAGTGTTGCTTTGCTTCTGTTTGGATGCCAGGTTTCATACTGGCAAGCACACACTGCCACTGCTGCAAGCTCTCACCCTGTGTAAATTCTCATGTCAGTTCCCAGGATGGGGAACTAAAGTCTGGAGAGTTGACTCGCCTCAAGCTTTGCCAGCCTTACCAGCCAGTAAGTGTTGGTTCTGGAAGTGGAACCTGGGACTGTTTGACTCTTCATCCTGAGGGCTCTGCAGCAGTCTTAGGACACTTCTTTAGTTAAGGTTTTAGGGAAGGACACCCCAAGTTGTATGTGATCTCAATTGCTATGTATCTCTTTTCTCCCTTGACATACAACACATACCTGATTCTCCAGGGGTCTGTAGTCAGAAATTCAGGTAGTGCACAGGGCTGTGGGGACTCAATTCTTGTTCCAGGATATTCTGGGAGGACTTGAAGATTGGGACTGAAATAAAGCTCTTCACTTTCTTGTCTTACTGTGATCAGTGGCTGCTAAAGGTTGCCAGTTGTGATGGGTCAGTTGAGGTGGGTATTCATGGGCACTTCTTGTAACTAGTTTGGTTTCCGTGTATTGTCTGGAGTTGAAGGGAGTCAGGTGGAAGCTGTGGTGTATTAGTCAAGGTTCAGCAAGAATGTTAGTTCTCCCCTTTCATACTCTGTGTGCCTGCGGTCACCCCTTTCAAATTCATGTAACTGGACTTACCCACTAGAAGTGCAAGTCTCCCTCCATTGTTCTCCACTTTTCCACTGAGGCCAAGGTCTGTCAATCATCCAGAACTGGATGGTGTGGTACCACTGGTCCTGCTAGCCAGCCTGCTCTGGGTTTCCTCTGTCTCTGCCTCCTGAGGTTGGAATTACAGGTGAGCTGTCATGTTCTGCTATTTAACTAGGTCCTGGGGTCCAAACTCCTGTCCTTTTCTTGCTTGCATGGCAAGCACTTTAGCCATAAGCCATCTCTTTAGCCCCATCTGTCAGGAAATTTCTTCCTGCCACTATTTTAGGTGAGACACCTTTTCAAGGGAAAACCAAGACCGGATTTAATGTGAGCCCATGCTGTGTTCCCACAGGAATTATTATCACAGGGTATTGTAACATTAGGCTGCTCGCTTGGATTGGCACAGTGTAAGGACCCTAACACTTGGACTAAATGATATTATACCTATTGTTGCCTCTCTTCTGTCTGGTAATATAGTTGCTATCCAAAAAGTGTTTGTTAAATTCCACTAACATTTTTAGGTTACAAAAACACTTGATATAATTAAGACATTGTGCTCTGGGCCTACAAGGCTGAAAACAGAAGATTGCCATATTTTAGCTTGTCTTAAAGCTGTCCTTAAGCCAGTGAGGAGAAGTTATACAATATAAACAGTGGTGTTGGGCAGATTGCTTTTTACACGTTTTCTGCTCAAGTGTGTAAGGAGAAAGCGACGGCTGTACTGGAAAGGGTAATATACTCCCAGGTTCTAGATGAGGACATCTTTGGTAGATTGCTATTTTGGCCATACTGCATGAAAGAAAAAAATTCTCATTTTGCAGATCAGTAAGAGGGTGAACTCTTGTTAGCAGATGGACACAGGATATGAAGAGTTTACATAAAGAAAAGGCACCCGTCAACAATATCTGAGGCACGAAGCCAGCGTGGAGATTGCTTCCCTTCTGTCCAGTTAGTGGTGTCTGGCCATCTGCCAGGCCTTGCTGGGGGCAAGGGAACTACTTGACTGTCCTTTGGCAGTGTGACCAGCCTCTTTAAGTGCGTGCCTTATGTCCAGGGCATTCCCACTGCAAGAATTTGTCCTCCGGAGGTTATCAAGTGGTGTGTAGGCATTCCTCTCCAGAGGTGTTATTGCTGTCCTTGGGACCACAAACAGTTTTAAATCAGTCTGTGTTTCGCAGTCAGCCTTGGGTAAACTCATTCTGTTGTAGCCATATGGCAGCACAGTGTGAAATTAGAAGTGATACTGTCCAGGGAGGTGGCACAGGCCAGAGATGAGGTAATCGGTGCTCATTCTATTCCTGTGGCGTTTAAAGCGTTTACTGTTGAAATAATTAAGATTTACAGGCAGTTGCAGAGGGATGTGTAGGGAAGTCTGCACACTCTTAACCTCATAGTAGGCTTTTAAATTTGCATATGCGACTTCTAGTCTCTGCATATCAAGTCACACATCTGAAGGTAATAAATGATTTAAGTAAACTGAAGAAAGCGAAGAAGTCATAATACGGGGAAATACTTCACAGCCTATTTCAGAATCAGGAAGGTAGGATTTAATTTTTAAAAAGATTTATTTTTATTATTATTTTAAATAATCTTATTACATTTTATTAACTTTTTTTTTTTTGTGTGTATGTGCCATAGCATGCAGGTAGAATCAGAGGTCAGCTTGTAGGAATTTTCCTCCCACTGTGTGGGTCCTGGGGATTGAACTCAGTTCGTCATGATTAGGGGCAAGTAGTTTTATCCACTGATGTGTTTTAGTGATACTAATTTTCTTTTTTTTAACTTTTAATTATGTTTATGTGTGTGAATATGTAGGGATGTGTGCGTAGGAGTGCAGGTGCCCATGGAGGCCAGAAAAAGGCATCTGGTTCTTTGGGGATGGAGATATAGGTAGCTTTAAGATGCTTGATGTGGATGCTTAGAATTGAACTTGGGTCCTCTGCAAGAATTGTAGATGATGTAGATGATCCATCTCTCCTACCCTAGGATTTAATATAAAAATGTTTTCTAAGCTTTTTCTTATAGTAAATGGGAATCAGCACAGAGACCAAGATCAGCATTGGGCAATGTGCAGAGAGTGAGTGGGTGACTTTGGAGCATGCCGTCCTAAATGGGATGTCCTTATCAAGCCCCTCCCCTCAAGGCTCAGGGACCTACGAGGAGGAGGTAGAAGGATTGTGAGAGCCAGAGGAGACAGCCTTTTCCAGACACAGCCGGACTGATCTGCACCTGCACTCCCAGACACTGAGACAGCACTGAGACAAGGGCAGGTGGACCTAACCAAGAAACTGCTGCTGCTGCTGCTGCTGCTGCTGCTGCTGCTGCTGATGCCTGCTAGGGAAGGGACAGTCTGCCTTCTCCAGTGGAGGCTGGCTGGGTGTATCAACCACACTCCAGGGCAGGCCCTGTGCTCAGGAGCATTTGGCCCACACAAAATGGACTCCATCTTTTTTTGTGTACTTTTTGTTTTGGTTTGGTATTTTTTTGTCTTATTGTTTTGATTTTTCTTGTTCTTTGAGAGGGAGGTGGCAAGGAACTGGGGGAGGGGAAGAATATGATCAAAGTATATTGTATGAAAAAGGTTAAAAAATAAAAACATCTTTTAACTCACGTTAAAAATACTACATTTATTTTCATGCATATGTCAGAGCTTAATAGAGATCGGAGAACAACTTTGGGTCTCAGTTTGCTCCTCTCACCATGTAGATGATTAAACCCAGGGATTGAACCCAGGTTGTCCGGCTTGGCAGAAGGTGCTGTTACCAGCTGAGCCCTGTGTGGTCTCAGAATTTCATTAAAACACAAAACAAAACATGTATGTGTTTATCAGAATTGGTCTTCATGTTTCTCTTTGTGCACTTCTTTCTTCACCAGGGTCTTGTGTCAAAACCCCAGAGTGTCATGTCTGCCTTGGGACTGTACCAGTTGGGATGTCAGATGACAGTGGCTGGGATTAATAGGGCTTTGTTTACTTCCTGTACCCCGCAGTAAAAGGAGGTGGTTAGCTTGGAGCCCTTGCTCACTGCAGCCATCACAGACCTGCTCTTCATCGCCCCCTGTACCAGTTTTCAGAGGTGCCTTCATTCTCATAAGAGAGATACTGGCCAGGCCTCACCTCACCCCTGTTCTGGGACATGTCTGAATGGGAGAAGCTGAGGTCCAAGGGTGCTGGCTGAGCTTGTCTGGTTTTGTTGGAAGAGTTACAGCCTTCATTTCTTTCTAAATCGCTTACACAACTTTTGTTTATAGTTGGGTAATCAGACAGAGCAGCGCCTGGTAGAAATTCCCAGTGACGTTCCCTTGTGAGGTCAGGTTCTGCTTGTAACATTTGCCAGCAGTTGCTCAGGGACCCTGGTGTTGGCAGGGGTCTGAGAGAACTCCTGGAGAGCCATGCTTCCTGATCTCAGAAAGGGCCTGAATGTCTGGCCTTTTGGTGGGGGTGTGGCCTGTGTGGCGCCATTCCTCATTGGATTGGCCCTTAGCCTGGGTGTAGTTGTGTGGCTAGATATGTAGTTGCTGGTAGAATGTGGCTTCTCTTGCGCTTGTGGCCTAGGAATTGGTGCCTTCCTTGATTCAGTCAGTGTTAGGCTCTCAGTAGAGCTGGGGGAAAGAAAAGCTAATTTTTTGTTTCCCTGTTTTCCTAGCATCCAGCATGTGTATGGAGCCCAGCACCCACCCTTTGACCCACTGTTACACGGCACGTAAGTGGCAGTCAGTGTCTTGCTTCTGCCAACTCATTGGAGTTTCTGAGGGAGGGGAAGTGTTCTGTCAGTCAGCAGATGGCTCATTCACTTGCTTTGTGAGGAATTGCTGTCTGTGCATCGTTTACCCTGTAGCTGGGTGGTGGGATATGGGGGCTGCGGGTCGTAGTACCTTGTAGAGGGTAGAGAGCTGGCGCTCCTGGCTTGAGGGCAGCGTGCCTCCAGACTGTCCTCACAGCTCATGTGAATTCTCCCTCTGTGCTGTACTCTCTCTGTCCTGGGCTTGGCTGTTCCAACTCTTGGGCTCGGTGCAGTGCTATACGTGTCTGTCATATTTCCTCCCTTATACTGGGGCTGCTGGGATGTGTAGTCACGCTTGGAGGGAACTCCTTGAAATCATCTCTGTGTATATGCAAAGGCCCTGTTCTCTGCAGGGTCCTCTTTCCCTGGCCCCCTCTGCTGCTGCTCTGGAGCCGGGCTGAGATGGAGGGAGAGGGAGAATGCGCTCTCTAGCTTTGGCACATTGCTCTGTACTTCTGTGCTGTTTACTGCTCTCTCCTGAAATGTCCCCCTGCCCATCGCGCAGCCTGCGCAGTGCCAAGTCCTCTTTTGATGCCTGCACAGTGCGCTTTTCTTGGCACCCTCATCTAGACGAATTGTACTCTTACTGGGGATTCTTTTTTGGCTGAATGTGCACAGTAAAGATGCATTTGCTTTGTAGCTTGCTCAAGTCCACGCCCAAGGTGCCCACCACCCCAGTGAAGGCCAAGAAGGTCAGCACCTTCCAGGAGTTTGAGAGCAATACCAGTGACGCTTGGGATGCGGGCGAAGATGATGATGAGCTCCTGGCTATGGCAACGGAGAGCCTGAACTCTGAGGTGGTCATGGAGACCGCTCACCGTGTCCTGCGCAACCACAGCCAGAGGCAGAGCCAGCCCTCACAGAAGGAGATGCCAGAGCCGGAGCCTCAGCCCATAGCAGAGCCTCCTGTAGCTCCGAGTGGTGACCTCCGCCTGGTGAAGTCTGTCAGTGAGAGCCACACTCCTTGTCCTTCAGGTAGAGATGAAGGGATAGTAGAGCCAAGGATGGATTGGACAGGCATAAGGGGAGCTGTGTGTCTATTTGCAGTGGGACTCTGGGCCAGGAGAGCCTGTTAGGGCATCTTTCATGTGTCTGTGGTACTCCCAGACCCAGCAAACCAGCTCATTGCCCATGTGATCTGATGTGCTTTTCTTTCTTCCTGGAGCTGCGGGCGTCTTTCCTACAAATGAAATGTTAAGGCTCATGGCTTGTCCACGGGCCCACGAGAGGGCCATGGAGCAGCACAGGAGATGTGTGATCACAGGCTCCTCCAGAAAGGAGCAAAGAGCCCCCAAGCATGCGTCTCCTGGGTAAGGGCGCTTTGCTCTCATTTACAGAGGAGAGAGCAGATCCACAGTAGCCTAAAGCCACCCTGCTAGATTCCGAAAGGGGCTTTGTACCTAGTCTGTTTTTCAGAACTGCCTGCTGGGAGCTGATGTGCTAAGATGTTAGTTTCTTCAGGTGAGAAGCTGCCTTTATTTCATTTGTAACGAATTTAGAATCGCTGAGCTTACCCAGGAACTGCAGTGGCTTTTGAGTTCTCTGAGAGTTCCACCTCCAGTGGTGGTGTCCAAGGGTTGGCTCACTGCTGTGCTTGTGAGTCATGGACACAACTTCTCAAGCCCCCACAGAGGGTAGAGCATCTAGGGCACTGTTATCGCCAGCGATGGCCCTCAACACATAGATGTAGGAGCTGACAGTGGGCAGGACTATATTGTGTCTGGCTGGGGGTCCTGACCAGAAGCAAACTCAGATCTGAGCATATGTCACATTGTGGCAGCCTCCTTGGCACAAGTAAAGCGACTAGTTCTTTGACTGTCATGTTACTGGAGAAGTGGCTGTGATCTCATTGCTGTGTCCTCTGCAAATTGTGGGTTGAGCATTCTGTGTTTGCTTTCTAGGAGAGGTAGTTTTTTTGGGCACTTAATAATAATAGCATGCTGGGGGTGTTCACTGTGGCTAGTCTCTTTGATGATGAACTCTTTAAACGCCTTAGGCTTCTAGGAGAGAGTTGTGTTGTCTCCCTTTACAGCTGTGACACCAAGAAGACCCTGAACTACTCACGAGGTGGGCCTGGGGTGTTAAACCCAGGGTCAGTGGCTCCAGGTCCCTGCTGCTAGTGCTGGCTACTGCAGAGACCAGGGGTTCTCGTCCAGAGATCCTGCCCCCAGGGGACATGTGGCAGTATCTTGGGTAGTGTGTTTGAGCTGGAGCAGGGTGTGTTTGTCACTGAACATGGTAGGTATGGTAGGGATGCTGCTCAAATGTCTACAGTGCCCTGGTAGAGTGACTGAACATCCCCCTGACCACTCCCTTGGGTGAGGCCAAGGAGTGCTGTGCTGCAGTTGGTGGGACTTCTGCCAGGATTAGTTATACTGGTCCTGGGAGCTTCAGGAATGTGTGGAGAAGATGTGGTCCCCTTTCCCTGCTACTGTTACCTGTGGGCTGTTGAAGGAATGTGAAGGCCACTGGATCCCCAGTCCAGCCAGATTCTAGCTACTCCCTCCTGCGCCTCCCAGATAGCTGTGTGTGATTCTGCCTCCAGAACATTTTCTTGTGAACTCTGTCTTGGTCAGTGTTCTCTTGCTGTGAAGAGATGCCATGGCCACAGCAACTCTTATTTATAAAAGAAAGCATTTAACTGAGGCTTTCTCCCATTCCTGGCTGGAAGCATGGTGACATGCAGGCAGACGTGGTGCTGGAGAGGTAGCTGAGAGTTCTCTGTCTGGATCGCAAGCAGCAGGAAGAGAGAGACACTAGGCCTGCCTTGAGCATTTGAAACTTCACAGGCCACCTCCAGAGCTGTGTGTCTTACAACAAATCCACAGCTACTCCCAAAAGGCCACACCTCCTAATCCCTGTCACTCCCTAATGGCCAAGTGTTTAAATATATGAGCCTATGGGGGCCATTCCTACTTAAACCATCTCAGCCTTGTATGGTAGAATATATAGATAATGGAGGATCTCTTGGACATACTGGCGAGTCTAGCTAAATCAGTGAGCTTCCTGCCCAGTGAAAGACCCTGCCTCCAAAAATGGGGGCTTGACGGAGACACCTGTTGTAGAACTCTAGCTTCTAAATGCAAGTACACATATGTGCACCACACATATGTGCACAGACTCTCCCCATGCCATTCTGCTCTTGAATTCCAGGCCTGTTCTCGCTGGTGGGTGGGGGTTTGTTCTGGATGCTCCCTGCAGGTAAAGGCAGGAGCAGAGGTCCTCAGGTTAACCCTGATTCTGCCCAGGAGCTTTACTCTTGCTCCTGGGTTGCCTGGATGGCTTCCTATCCTGACTAGGGAGTGGAGCATGCTGCTCCATGGATGCAGGCACAGGTGGGGTTCTTGACCCCATCATCTGTAGTGCCTAAGGTAGACACCAGCGTGTTGAATTTAGATCTTACCTGTGGCTCGTTTTTGACCGTACACTGGTTTCCGTCTTCTGAAAGTTGAGGCTGCTGGGTGGGGGTCAGAGCTAGCCATCAGAGGAGTAGGATGTGCTCAGATGCAGGTGTATCTGTTTTATTGGTGAATAGCACTGTCAGTGAGTTACGTCTAGTGCTGCTGACGGGAGAGGGAAAGCTGTGCCCGACCATGTTCACAGAGGGCCAGTGATTGCCATGGTGAGCATGCGGCCACACGGATGAAGGGAGAAGGTGTGTTCAGGAGGTTAGAGGCTTTCGCTAACCTTACCCTCTGTTCTTCTACCCTTTCTAGAAAGCACCAGCGATCCGGTCCCTCTGCAACGGTCCCAGTCTCTCCCCCACTCAGCTACTGGTTCACTGAGTGGCACATCTGACCCAAATGCACTTGGTGGCTCAGCCCTGAGTAACAGAGAGGCCTCTCGGCTGGACAAGTTCAAACAGCTGCTTGCTGGCCCCAATACAGACCTCGGTGAGTCCCTAAGGGTGGCTTGTCTGTTTCTTACAAGACCAAAGGTGTCACTACTGGTTGCACACATGCTGTGTTTTCATGACATTGAGTCTCTAATATGCTGGTAGTTATCTTCCTTTAGCCATGTTTGCTAACATATTCCTAAACCAGTTTCCTAGCATGTACTTTTTTTTTGTGTGTAGTTTTTCAAGATAGGGTTTTTCTTTGTAGCCCTGGCTGTCCTGGAATTCGCTCTATAGACCAGGCTGGCCATGAACTTACAGAGATCCATCTGCCTCTGCCTCTTGCGTGCTGGGATTAAAGGTGCAGGTGAACACCACCCGGCCTTCCTTTTTAACTAATGCTGCAGAATACTTTTCCTACTGTGGTCCTCGGGGAGCCCCTAGAGGCTGAACTCCATGGGCTATGGTTTGTCAGTGACTTCTGGGGGAGTGGGAGAGGTGACTACCATCCTGAGCTTTGTACTTTACAGATGTGGGCTATGGGTGACATGAGTGTGACAGGAAAGGCCCAGGTGGGCACTGGGGAGAGAGCACGGTTGTCAGGGTGAATCTTTGTGATTTGCCTCCTTTAGTACCTGTGTGGACACTGGCTCGGCTTCCAAGTCACTTGTGGTGGAATTGTCATCTGATTATTTGTTCTTTCATCTCTACAGCCTGTATTTGATGAATGAACTCAATGATAGGTGTTTCCTAGGTGCTTGAATTTTCTGAGGGCCAGCAGGTGGTCTTGCTTGAGATACTCATAGCAAGAGAAGAAAAATTTGAACAGGTAGTGCTAGAGCAGCACTTGAGGGTTGAGAGCCCCGAGGTGCAATGCCCAATTTGCCCAGGAGGTGGCGAGTGGGGCACACTGATTCATGCTTTTGGGAAACTAGGGAGGATGTCTTGATTGGAATAGGGCAACCTTAGGTCTGTACAGTGGACTTTTTTTCTTAGATTAATAACTTCTTTGGTTTTTATTTTTGAGGTGAGGTCTCTTTATGTAGCTGTGGCTGTCCTATAACTCACTATGTAGATTAGGCTGACCTTGAACTCAAATAGATTTGTCTGCCTCTGCTTCCTAGTGCTGGGATTAAAGGCGCATACCACCATCAGAGCACAACAGGATGAAAAGTGAAAGTGGGCCTCGGTGGCCTGTGGACATTGCTTCAGACACTTTTTATGTAATTTCATACTTGAGGAAAGTCTCAAGGACAGTACAAACGACTTCTGTACTGTGTCACCCACTTTTACCAACTGTTTGCATTTTGCCCATTCCCCATTATCTGTCTGTGCTGTGTTTGCAGAACCAATTGAGAGTCAGTTGGAGACTTCCTTCCATTTACTCCGAGGGCTTTGTGTGTACTTCCTAAGAGCACAGGCTGTCAGTTTAAAGAGGTGTAGCCCTGACACAGTGCTGTTTTCCTTGTTGTGAGGCTGCGCAATGCGTGTTCACATTTACCAGGTGTACCCAAGAGTGCTCATCTCCTGTTTCCTTGTCCACAGTTCAGAGCTCAGTGGCTCCTTCCCCACAGTCCCCTCTGCTCTGATGTCTCCATGAACCTGAATGCTAGTTCCCCTTCCTTGTGTGCTTCAACCCTAACATTCAAGGTGTGCAGACAGTTACCTGTCTCTGTGTGTCGGGATCTTCCTTGTGCTTGGGCCCAGGTGCATGATGCTCAGCAGGGCATCACTTTGGGATGTATGTCCTTCTCACCCTTTCCTCCTCTCTGGGCACCTAAGCAGCAAGAGGGATGCCTTGGAGTCTGGGCATTTATGCAGGACTTTTTCTTCATCCACACCCCACTTTTTAAATTTATATGTATTTACAGAGTAGCACATAGAGAGCCAGATGCCACTCTTTGGGTGTCCCACAGTTTATTTCACAAGCCCTTTACTGATGGGCATGGAGGATACCCCTGATTTTCCGTCATAACAGCCTAGGACCTTGTACAGGTGAGGCGAGAGCTTGAAGACATCTGCTACTTTGATGATGGTGACCATAGAGCAGTTCTCACCTGGGGTGGGGAAGAGACCACAGATAGGGTGGCTTTAGGTTTGGCATAGAGCTGGGTAGGTAGACGTTCATGTCACCATAGTAGGAAATCAGGATTGCTCATAAGAAAGGAGCAGAATCCCTTGGCTGAAGCTGGAACCATATTTCTACCTTTCTAGCACACCATGCACCCATGTTTCGTTGTACAGGGGTTGTTAGCTGCTCAGGTTCTGTGCTGGAGCCTAACGGATGTATAGGGAGGAAGCGGATCCCACTGTGTTTATGGGAGGAGGATCTGGAGTTGGCAGTCTGGATGGAGACCTTGAGCAGGCTTGGTAACTTGTGATCCTGGTTCTCAGTGTCCTTGCTCATCTACAAGATATGCCTGGAGCTGGACTGAGATGATGTGTAGGCCACTAGAGTGCTGGCCGTAGGTAATGCCCATGGGCTGCCTTAGTGTTGTTCTGTAGCCTTTCTATACCGATTATCGCAGTATGGCCACTTGTGATCCATGATGCATCAGAGTTGTTTCCAGACATTTTCCTGCTTATGTCCACCAGTTTATAGCCACAGGCAGGTGGCCAGGAGACAGCTGATAAAAACAGGTTTACCTGATGATCTGGTTCAGCTCTGGGCAGCAGCTAGTATCTTCTTGTGGGTCTTGTCACTAGGGAAGCGTTAGAAATCAAATTAAACTTGCAATAAAGCTTCCAGAGTTTGAGAGTCACTGTGAGCATGTGTGGGTGAAAGGTTAGATACAAAAACCAAGCTCTTTGTCAGGTTGGTGTGATTATTATGGTTTCTTATTCCTTTTTCTTTAAGAATTCTGTTTGAATCTTTGAAGCCAAAAAGTAAAAGCCATTTACTTTCAAAGATAAACAATTACTGGATTTGTATTTAGTGGCAAGAGAAACATAGCCAGTAAATTGCCTGTTTTCCTAAGGCCTTTAAGGTAGCTCTGAGGACAGTGGAATACATTATCCTCCCATTACATAAAAACCAAAGTGGTAAATATTTGTCGAAGTTGGAGAAGCAAATCGCTGATGTGCAAAGGGCCAGCAGAAATGGCTCTACCTGCTGCAGGTCTGTGCCAGCGTCCGCTGCTCTTTGTTTAGCTTATGCTCTGTTAGGAGCCCAGGGATGAAAGTAGCAAACAGAACTTAACAGCTCACTCCCCTTTAGCACCACTCAGTGTTTACCCGCACAAAGACTGCCTGCGCTGAAGCCTGAGAAAGGACGCTTGGAGACATTCATGTTTGTACGTGTGTCTGCCGAGCAGGAACACCATCAAAATGTGCAGAGTGTGCCGTTTCCTGAGGGCTGCTGAGAGACTGCACACAGCAGTGGGGCCTCTGTGGGCAGGCTCAATGTAGAGCTCACTGAGGGGCACCAGAGAGCAGTCAGCCAGCAGAACAGAAGGTGTCCATTTTCCTGTGAGGAGTGAGCCAGGCACATAGCCATGGTCGCTAGTACCTAGGTTTATCCACCCTGGGTTTGAAGATGGAGAATGTGCCTGGATAGTCAGAAGGAAGGCATAAATGAACTATGGGGTCATATTCCCTGGAAGCATGACCTTGAGCAGATGTTCCTGAGTGCCTTTGACTTGAGGGCCACATTACAGGGCCTATGGTGGTGAGTTCACTCCCAGCATGGGTGCTGGTTATGCCCCTACTCTCTGTGTGACCAGCTCACTAAGTGTCTCACCTCAGGGTGGAAAGGAAATCCAACCTACCTTCCAGAGTTCCTGAGACAGCAGGAGGTAATTGATGTTTCAGTCATAGGGGAGAAACAGGGATCCAGGCCAACATTAGCCCTGCCCTCCAAGATCTTGCATTCTACTCTGGGGCAGACAGACAGACACATACTCACACTGAATAGCACATTGGTCAGCAGGTGGTAAGCATGTCTTGGGATGAGGTAGTGCTGAGGAATAATGAAGATGCTGCTGGCGAGTAAGTGGTCGTCAAAGACCTTTTGAAATGAGTGTGTTTCTGCTGAGCCCTGTGTGCAGAGAGGCTGAGTATGAAGGAAGGCCTTCCAGGGAGAGGAGCCAGGGTGCAGAGGACCTGTAGGGGAGAGCTTCAGCTGTTTGAGGATGTGAAGAAGGCACTGAGGCTGAGGGAGGTGGAGGCAGAGAGGTGTGTAGAGCTGGAAGCACTTGGACTCCAGGGCTCAGAGGGCCAGGAGGAGGCACTCAGCTTTTGCTTGAGCACCCTCTGGAGTCAGGCTTGGAAGGAAGCACCCTGGCTAGTGGCCTTGAACTAGGTGGGATTCTGGGTGATTGGAGGGGAAGGAGAGGGAAGATGGTAACTGGGGGAAGGGAGGCCAAGGGTTTTGGGATTGGACCTGGTGGGGTGATCAGTTTCAAGTACTATCTGGTGAGCCGGATGGATGGTTCCTGATTGACTGTGCATGAAGCTGAGTGGACCAGGAGGAGAGGGCCACAGCATCTAGCTTGGAGCAAATGTAAGAACAACTGGTGGCCCAGACAGCACTTTTCTAGGAGGGCCATTTCATCAGTGGGGGCAAACCATGGCCATTTGATGCCGCTGAAAGCTGCAGACCAGTGCATGGTGCCTCAGGATGGTCTCTATCCAACTCTATTGCACCCCCTGTCTACCCAGAGCCGTGGGCTCACTGCTCAGGGGGCTGCATCTGAGGCAGCCCTTCACTGAGTAGAGCAGGGCAGGATAAGGCCAGGTTGGTTTTGGGCTCTATTTCTAGCCTTCAGTTTCTCTCATTTTTGGTTAATGTAGGCAGCTGTTGTGTGATGTTTTACTCTTTTGACTTTTTGAGGGACCCAGCTCCCCCCAAAAATCATACACAGAGGCTTATTCTTAGTTATGAATGCCTGGCCCTAGCTTGGCTTGTCTCTTGCCAGCTTTTCTTAAATTATCCTGACTACCTTTTGCCTCTGGGCTTTTATCTTTCTCTATTTCTGTATACCTTTCTTTACTTCTTTCTCCATGGCTTGCTGTGTAGCTGGCCCCTGGTGTCCTCCTCCCCCTCGTTTTTCCTATTTA